AGGCCATGGGAAATTATCTTAATATTGCCGAGAGTTATTACCTGTCTCTACTTGTGAAAGACTTTTTTTTTCACAACAGTAACATTGACATAATGATGTCTGAAAATTTCTTCTGCAAAGCCAGTTCTGAAATGTCACATTTCATGCTCAGAAATTTATCCGGTTGTTTTTCTGTTTTGAACTCCGTAACTTATCCTGAAGGTCACATTTATACCTGTTCTTTGGTGTCTTAAGTGGCCTTTAGCCAAAAGCCAATCAAAAGTTCTGACCGAGATCCTAATATAGTTGATGACTCTGATGCAGCCCTGTGCTGACAGCTGGTGTCACGTGGAGGCTTGTTCCTGATGTGAAAGCATAAGACCAGAACACCTGAAAGACCCTGTTGTCTGCTCTCATCCTGCTCTGTACTGGTCCCAGGAGCTCCGCCTCCCCACTGCAGACCTCACAGAGCCAATTCTAGTTCCTGGGGCTGGCCAGTTAGCTCAGTTGGTTACAGCATGGTGTTATAACACCAAGGTCAAGGGTTTGGATCCCCTTATAGGCCAGCTGCCTCTCCACCAAAAAAAAAAAAAAAAATTCTAGTTCCTCTGGTCTCTGTCACCTATTAGAGACCCACCCTATATTCTGGCCAATCAAAGGGAACAAGGCGGGATGGAAAAAGGAAAGAAAAATATAAAGCAATAATTATAGATTCTGACAGAGGTTGGCCAGCTTGGTCAATTGGATAAGGGCCTGAAATACAGAACCATCCTGTCATGCAAACAGGGAACATGCATGTGAAGGAACAGGGTGGGAGGAAGTCTTGAAATCAAGAGAAAGGAGGGTAGGAAAGGGGACTACGAGGGAGTGGGGTCTACAACCTCAGAGGATACTGGTGAGCCTTAGGAAGGCCTCGCCACTCTGGGCAGTACCAAGGATCTGGGGAAGGAGAATGTGAGGGGTGGCCTGCACTTAGAGTCCCAGCCCCTGTGTCCTTCTTCTCCTCTTTCATATCTCATGATCTGCAGGGTCAGTCCTGTTTCAGTCCCATTTCAGGCCCCAGGAAGAGGGATCGGAGGGTTCTGTTCCACACTTGGAGTCTCAGCCTCAAGTCACCCTTGCTGCTGTGCCCTAGTTCTAGAAATTCAGCTGCTATCTTGTTCCCAGGACTTGGGCCCCACCCTGTGCCGTAGTCTGGTAACTGAGCCCTAGTCTTGTTCCCTCTGCCAGAGGTCCTGTCTTGGTAACCCTGTTAGTTTTTCTGGCTCTTGTCTACTGCTCAGGGATTAGATTTTTACCTTAAGCCTCAACCTAGAAGCTGTGGGCTCTGTTTCCTGCTAATAGAGGGAGAGAGCATGTTTTAATAACTAAGAGCATAGATTTTGGAGTCAGACCTGGGTTTATAAACCATGACTCTTCCCTACTGGACAGCCACCAAAAAAAAAAAAATTCTGGCTCTACCCTGGACCACCTGTGTGACCTGGGTGTGTTACTTAACTTCTCTGAGAAAAAAGTGAGGTGTTATATACAGTTCTATGACTCAAAGTGTGATCCATAGACTGGCAGCATCAGCATCAGTAGGAGATCGTTAGAAATGCAAAATGTCAGGCCTCAGTCTAGGCCTACCATAACACTAGCATTTTCACAAGACCCCCAGGTCACTAGTGCACGTTAAAGTTTGAGAAGCACTAATATAGATGAAAGAGCATAGGCTTTAGAACGAGAAAGATCTTGCTTTGAATCCCAGCTCTAAACCTCAGTCTTATCTGTAAAATGTGGATGGTGATATCTACCCCATATACTTATCTTGAGGATTATGCATACGAAGTTATAGGCACAGCTCCTAACAAACAGTGAATGCTAAGTAAGTGGTATCTATTACTATTATTGCCACTTGGCTTCCCAAACCTGTTCCAGTGCCCTCTTGTTAGAACATCTTCCTGATTCTGACTGCTTTACGAGACTAACTCCTTTTATCTGCTGCCAGGCTGGTCTGGACTTCCTTCAAGCCACTGCAATGAGAATGCTCTCCAGGATCTGCCCCATCTCAGGGGGCCCTGTCTAATTCCAGATCCCAGCTTCTTCCAGTCTGACTGTTCAGCTGGAGTTAATGGGCATGATGATAGTCACCACAACCCAGCAATTCATTCCACCAATATTGATCAAACACAGCTTCATGGCAGACATAGTCCTGACTTCAGAAGTTCTCAGATTAGTGTTGTTAAAAAGATAAATGGGGGCAGAGTAAAATCTTAAAGAGTCTATTTGAGCAAACAGCGATTCATGAATCAGGCAGCTCCAAACCAGAAGTGGTTTGTGAGCTCCACCAAAGGAACACAAAGGGGACTCTTCTATAGGATGAACATGGAAGTAATTGCTATAGTACCTTAATTAGTCTTCCAGCTACTCCTTTCACCAAATGGCTGGAAGACGTAATTTTCTAAAGTGCTACTTCTTACATATTTGTCATTCATAGAAATTTCCAGGGCTCTTTGTTGTCTCAAAGACAAAGCCTGGACTCCTCTGGATGGCACCTAAAGGCACTCCATAAACTGGTCCAATTGCTCCACCTTATCCCTTTACAATCTCCCACCTCCAGAACTGACTGGTCCACTAGCAGCCTGACTGGGCTGCCCTACTCTCTCACTTTGTTGGGAGTTTTCTTGCCTGCCCATCTAGGCACAGCTCAGTGGTGCTTCTATGAACACACTTTCCACTCCGACACAGCTATTTCTGAAAGAAACAAAAATAAACAAACAAAACTTTGTTGAAACTCTACAAGTACAAAAAATGACACCCAAGATCTCCTATGCAATCACATTACCTATTCTCATTTCTCCCGTTCTTTCCAAGGGGTGTGTGTGTGTGTGTGTGTGTGTGTGTGTATGAGATATACTTTTTTATATAACTTCTGTGTATAGATATACATGGACACAATTTTATATTCCATCAGTCAGCATATCATATTTCTACAATCTTAAATTTTATCATTTTTATAACTTCAGATATTGCACTAATATCAATAAAATGGGGATAATAATATTGCCAACCTTATGGGTTTGCTGTGAGAATTAGATAAGTTAATACAGAGATTCTCAAGCTTGCTCATCCTGCAGAATCACATGGAAAGCTTGTTAAAACACAATTTCTTGGGCCTCAGCCTCAGGATTCTGATTCAGTAGGTCAGGGAAGGGTGCCTTAATTTGCATACCTGGTGCTACTGGTTTGAGGACTATACTTTGAGAACCACTGACTTAATACATGTAAAGTGCTCAGAATAGTGTCTGGCACATAGTAAGCACTACTGTGTTTATTATTTTAATTTAATAAATATAAATCTCCTTTCAGATCCCCATACTGGCCAGCCACCAAATAAATAAATAAGTAACAAAATAAATAAATAAATGTAAATTTCTTTTTAGTTGAAAAGTAAGTATGGACAAAACATTTTATTTTATTTATTTATTTAAAGATGACTGGTAAGGGGATCTTAACCCTCGACTTGGTGTTGTCAGCACCACGCTCACCCAGTGAGCTAACCGGCCATCCCTATATGGGATCCGAACCTGTGGCCTTGGTATTATCAGCACTACACTCTCCTGAGTCAGCCACAGGCTGGCCCTGGACAAAATTTTTTAGTTTAAAATGAAAGCATGTTACTGATGTAGAATCTAGTGGGGACACTTCTGGTTTCTGCTTCAACATGTAATGAGCTTATAAGTTGTGTCTCTCACTCTCAAAACAAAACCAAAAAAAGTACTGAACTGAAAATCTACAACTTTTCTCGAAGGTATACCTGTTCCCCAATGTTCAGTGCAGCGCTCTTTACAATAGCCAAGAGTTGGAACCAGCCCAAATGTCCATCATCGGATGAGTGGATATGGAAAATGTGGTACATATACACAATGGAATACTACTCAGCTATAAAAATGAATGAAATACTGCCATTTGCAACAACATGGATGGACCTTGAGAGAATTATATTAAGTGAAACGAGTCAGGCAGAGAAAAAGAAATACCACATGTTCTCACTTATTTGTGGGAGCTAAAAATAAATAAATAAATTCACTTACACACACAAAAAAATAACCGGGGGAGAGGGGGGAAGAAGATATAACAACTACAATCCTTTGAAGTTGTTACAACAAGCAAACGGAAAGGACATTGTTGGGTGGGAGGGGGGAGAGGGAGGAGGAGGGAGGTTTCGGTGATGGGCCATAATAATCAACCACATTGTATATCAACAAAATAAAAATTTAGGGCCGGCCCGGTGGCTCACTCAGTAGAGTGCGGTGCTTGGGAGTGTGGCGGCGCTCCCGCCGAGGGTTCGGATCCCATATAGAGACCGGTCCGCTCACTGGTTGAGCGCGGTGCGGACGCGACACCGAGGGTTGCGATCCCGTTACCGGTCACGAAAAAAGACAAAAAGGAAAAAAATAATAATAATAAATAAATAAAAATTTAAAGGAAAAAAAATAATAAAGATGCACCCCCCCACCCCCCCAAAAAAAAAAAATCTACAACTTTTCTTAGATCTTTTAAAGAATTTAGGTCACAGGAAAAAATGTCACCCCGAAAACTGGAGAGACAGGTGAATACAGAGAATACAGATTAGCTTACCTGAAGCCATAACTGGTAGAAACACTTAAATCGTACCTTCGATGAATTGCCAGAGGCTGAGTGTGGATTAGCTTGAGAGTTAAAAATTCCTGGGAGCACTTTCAAAGGGGAGCTCCCACTCTTTCATGGGCTTTACCTCCCACCAGTTTCTCATGATTAAGAATAAAGAAAAAAAACCCTTATGTTTGTCCAGGAGGAGGGTAAAGTAACCATTTTGAAATAAACCCAGAGCTTTCTTTACAACAAAGGCCAAAGGCCTACCCAGCATGGAAAACGCCTTCAACAAAGCCTTACCTGCCTTGGGGGGAAGGGAAATTATCCAACTCCAACTCACTCTAACCTTCCTGTTTCAAATAAAGGTTAAAACCAAAACAAAAACAAAAAACAAACTGAGAACAGCTGCCCAGTTAGCTCAGTTGGTTAGAGCATGGTGCTCATAACACCAAGGTCCAGGGTTAAAATCCCTGTACTGGCCAGCTGCCACCCCCTCCCACCACCAAAAAAACTCACACAAAGCACTGAGAAGCACTTATAAGATCACAGCCTATAGTCACAGGCTCACTTAAATACTGAAACCTAATCAGGATTATAGAATGCTTCTCCTACCCCTACACCTTACCACCACATAACAGGCTCCTGTAAAACAGTGGATTATAGCTGAAAGAACTTCAAGACTCAAATTATTTTTAAGAAGGAGTTTCTAGGGAAACCCAAAGATAACAGGGAAGGCAAAAATAAGGACATTAGCAGAAATGGAAATCTTTGACACTTACAGCTGCAGCAAATAGTAAAAACACTCTAACTTTTAGGCAGATAAAAATAAAACTTCACAGAAAATATACCTCAGTTCCTATTATCCAATACATTATGTCTGTTTCAACATAAAATTACAAGGAATTCTAAAAGGTAAGAAAAGTCACAGTCTAAAGAGACAAAGCATCAGAACAAGACTCAGATTTGGCAGAGATTTTGAAATTATCTGTTCTTAACTGCACCTTGGATTTTGTTTTCATCAGGTATGGTAAAATGACAGATATGGAAACAACTTCCTTGAAAGAAGAGTTTATTACTTACAATTCCCATGGTGAGGGGAGAAGCCATGCCATATAGGGTCACGTGGGGAAGCACTAGGTTCAGCGAGGAGGCAGAAGGAGAGAGAGGAAAGCATGGGCACAAGCTTTTATTGTAATTTCCACAGGAAAGGCAAGGCAGAGCAAGGTAAATATCTTCAGACTGGCTAGCTTGAATACTTTTAGCAGGCTCTGAGTTTTAAGGGTGATCGCTAGTTGTCTGTTACCGACTGCGTATTATTTAGGACTAGGGAAATATTGTCTCAGTGTGTTAGAATTAGAGAAAATGATATGAGTTTTGAATGCTTGGTTTGCTTATGAAAGATGTGCTCACAGGCAAGTTGTTTACTATCTCTAGAAATCAGCTAGCCCTAGGAAGGGTAGTCTCTCCAGGATTATCAAGGCCCCAAGATGTTGAAGTATCATAAAATACAAAAAACATGATTAATACATTATTGAACTGGGAATTTAAAATAACTATGATTCAAATGCTAAGGACTCGAATGGAAAAAGTGAACACCATTCAAGAACAGATGGGTAGTGTAAGCAGAGAGATGGAAACTCTAGGAAAAAATCAAAAGAAAATGTTAGAGGTTAAAAACACTGCAACAAAAAGGAAGAATGTCTTTGATAGATGAGTAGACTGAACACAGCTGAGGAAAGAATTAGTGAGCTTGAAGATATGTCAAAAGAAATTTTCCAAACTGAAATGCAAAGAAAAAAAGAATGGGGGGGGAGGAACAATACCCAAGAACTGTGGGACATTTACAAAAGGTAACATATATGTGTTGGAAATACCAGAAGGAGAAGAAAGAGAGAAAGGAGCAGAACAAATATTTGAAGTAATAATGGATGAAAATTTTCCAAAATTAATGACAAAAAGCCAAACCATAAGCCTAGGAAGATCAAAGATAAATACCAAAGTGGGGTAAATAACAAAAAAAATCTACATCAAGTCATATCATCTTCAAACTGCAAAAACCAAAGACAAAGATAAAATCTCGAAAAAGAGGGAAAAAAATCTTACCTATAGAAAAACAGATAATAATTACATCAAACTTTTTGTCAGAAACTTGCAAATAAGACTGGTTGGTTGGCTCCGTTGGTTAACGTATGGCCTTGTAACCCCAAGGTCAAGGGTTCAGTTCCCTGTGCTGGCCAGCTGCCACTAAAAACCCTTTTTTTTAATTAAAAAAAATAAAAAATAAAAAAGCTTACAAGTAAGAAGAGGTCTGGGGTCCTGAGGGCTGTGGGCTGCCCCGCCTTCCCCCATAGGAATATCTTAGAATGCATTTATTAGTCACATGAGTTTCTTTGGGGTATGTGACTTGTCTGCTCATATCCTTCACCAAATTTCTGTTAAAATTTTTCTAATTCATTTTTAAGAGTTCCTTATGCATTAGGATGTTAATCTTTGTGTATTAAATTTGATTCTTATCAATTGACTCTAAATTCAATTTGTGATGTTTTCCTTCATTTGTATGTTGAGAAAATAATTTTCTATCTAAATATTAAATTTAAAAAAAGTAAGAAGAGAGTGAAGTAAAATATTTAAAGAAAGTGTTGAAAGAAAATAACCACCAAACTAAAATTTTGTGTCCAGTGAAATTATCCTTCAAAAATATAGAGAAGTAAAGACTTTCTCAGACAAACAAAACTGAGAAAAGCTGTCACCAGTAGACCTGCTTTGGAGGAATTGTCAAAGGAAATTCTTCAAAAAGAAGGAAAATGTAGATCAGAAACTTGAATCTGACATAAAGAAAGAAGAGCATCAGAGAAGGCAAAAATGAAAGTAAAATAAATGTTTGTTTTTCTTATTCCTATATGACCTAACAGATAACTGTTCAAAGTGTTAAATAAAAATTATAGTAGGCCATTGTTTTGAACTAAGTTCCTGCACTCAGCCCCGAAAGACCAGACTAAAAATCAAAATGGAGTCACCTCTGCTAAGTTCACTCAGGTTGGGGAATGACTTTATGAGAAATCAGGAGAAAGAGATAACAGCAAATTTCCCAGAACAGGCCAATTTAAATCTTCAATAGGTATGATGATGAAGTTCACTCTGCTTTAATCCTCACACAAAAGAGATAGCTTGAAGTAACCTGATATTAACTAGTCAGTTATTTTTCTATTGTCTGTTGTCCTGTCTCCACCTTACAAGGAAAGGAACTTTGAAATGACCAATCTGCTTTATGTTCTTTGTTTTACTTTCATCAGTCTTTTCTATGAAACCAACCTCCTCTGCTCTTCTTATTGGAACACTTATTGTATTTTGTGGAGTAATGAGTTGCTCCATTCTAGAATCGCAATAAAACCAATTGAGATCCTTAAATTCATTGTAATTTTGTCCTTTGACAAAAGTAATAATAGCAACAATGTATTGGGTGATGACAGCACATGGATAAGTGGTGAAATGAATGGCAGCAGTGTTATAAGGAACGGGAAAGAGGAATTGGGAATATTCTGTTACAAGGTACCTGCACTAATCATGAAGCAGGATAGTGTTATTTGAAATCAGACTTAGATTAGTTGTGAATGTATATTGCAAACTCTAAAGAAACCACTAAATTTTTTCTAAAGACATGTAATTGATATTGTGATATAATGATATAAGATATATATATTTGGCCTTCATCTCTGGTTCCTGACACAGAGCTCCTAATGTAACACAATAATATTTGATTTTTGTCCCTAGTTCCTGGCACAGAGCTTGTAATTTTCTGAGTGATAGAGGTGACAGAAGTGTCTTTTGTTATTCATGGTAAACTCTTTTGAAACATACTTGAATTTACATATGAATGAAGTAACCCTTGAAAAGTGGGGGTTGACTGCCAGATGAACCAACCATGTGGTTAGAGTGTTGTACTATGGTTTAAATGTGTGTCCCTCCAAAATTCATATGTTGGAACTTAACCCCCAAGGTGATAGTATTAAGAAGTAGGGGCCTTGGGTAGTGATTAGGCTATGAGAACTTTGCCCTCATTGATGGGATTAGTGTCCTTATAAAAGGGCCATGCAAGGACACAGCATCTGTTCCCTTCAGAGGACACAGCAACAAATAATAATAGCAGCAATGTACTGGGTGATTTGCTTTCTGGAAGCAGAAAGCAAAATCTTACCAGATACTGAATCTGCTGGTGCCTTGATCTTGGATTTCCCAGCCTCCAGAACAGTGAGATATAAATTTTTATTATTTATAAATTACCCAGTCTTTGGTATTTTTGTTATAGCAGCAGGAATGGACTAATACAGGTTGGTACTTTCAGCCCTACCCCCTGACTTCCAGAGAGGGGAGAAGGGCTGGAGATTGAATTAGTCACAATGGCCAGTGATTTAATTAATCATGCCCTATGTAATGGAGCCTCCATAAAAACCCTAACTGATGGGGCTCAGAGAGCTTCCAGGTTGGTGATCAATCCAAGTGCTGGGAGGATGGTGCACTCCAAGTCCATGGGGACAGAAGCTCCTATGCTCAGGACCCTTCTGGACCTTGCTCCATGTACTTCTTCAGCCATTCATTTGTATCCTTTATAATAAACTGGTAAAAATAAGTAAAGTGTATCCTTGAGTTTTGTGAGCCATTATAACAAATTATTGAACCTGAGGAGGTTGTTGTGGGAACCCCTCACTTGTAGCCAAGTCAGACAGAAATGTGGGTAACCTGAGGATCTGTTACTTACAACTGGTGTCTGGGAGGCAGTCTTGTGGGACTGAGCCCTTAATCCGTGGGGTCTAGGCTAACACCAGGTAGTGTCAGAATTGGATTAAACTGTTGCATACCCAGTTGGTATCTGCAGAGAACTGGAAATTTCTTCATGTGAAAAACCCACATATCTAAGTGTCAGAAGTGTTATGAGCAGAGAAACAGTTTTCCTTTCGAGAAAATATAATCACATAAAATGCTCAATTAAAACAGAAAAACGGGAAGAATTTTAAAAAAGAACAAATGCAGTGAATACAAAACAGTTACAAACTTGGTAGATATTAATCCAACTCTATCAATAATCACTTTAAATTTTAATGGTCTAAATGCGCCAATTAAGAGACAGAGACTGTCAGAGTGGATTTAAAAAAAACATAAAAAACAAAAAACAAGACCCCCACTATATGTCATCTACAAGAAGCCCACTTTAAATGTAAAGACACAGATATATTACAAGTAAAAGCATGGAGAAAGATATACCATTCTAACACTGGCCAAAAGGAAGCTGGAGTAGCTATTTAAGGGTTCTTCAAAAAGTTCATGGAAAGGTTCATATTATCTTTCAATTCTATCTTTCCATGAACTTTTTGAAGTCCCCTCTGCTATGGATTGTCCTCTGAAACTCATTGAGGCTTAATCTCTGCTGTTACAGTGTTAAAAGGGTGGGAAATCCCATTAAGTAATTAAGAGGTGGGGCCTTGAA